CTACCTAAGAAACTTTTCTTCCTTACCCCTTACCTGGCACTGCTGGGTGGTAAGAGCAATGAAATCAGTGGGACAGAGCTGGTTGTTGGCTCACAAGGAAGCAGCTGTTAACCTCTCCTCTGCAGTGCCACAGTAAGAAGGCTGCAGCTGGCATTAAGAACTGTTTCTGGTGGAAAAAAAATTGGCTTTCATGGGAGCATCTCTGGAGTTCCTCCTCTCTCTGCTTCAGGGAATACAGAGGTTGATGTGCAGAAAATACAAGTACAAAGGGAGATGCAGCAGATCCCAAAGAGCATCCCCCTGGTTGCCCAAGACTGCACCGGTGTTTGGCTTTCATGACCCCCCACAGAAGCCTCCCGGGTTGCTCCCCCTTGCACTGCCCTGCCCACAGATGTGAGGGAATTCAGTCTCCCCTAAGAGCCAGGGTTTACAATTCTAGAATTCCTTGAGAAGCTACAAAAACCACCCTGCTCCCTTCCTCATGACAAACAGCAGCCTAGGGCAGGTCCTGACCAGGATGTTCCTACAAGGGTCTGCACCAGCCTCTTCGCCCCTTCTGCAGTCCCCCCTCCATCCAGCAATAGGAGCCACATCTTTCACTCCTCCCTGGCTTTTCCCTGGCTGCCTCTGTGTTCAGGCACACCAGGCAGGCCCCCTTCAGCCTGTGGCAACCTCCACAAAGGCTGCCTCACTCCCATCACCCTGCCTCAGTTGACCAGAGGGTTGGAGCACCTCTCCTCTAAAGAAAGGCTGAGAGAATTGGGATTGTTCTGGAAAAGGGAAAGCTTCAAGGTGACCTAATTGTGGCCTTCCAATACCTAAAGGGAACTTACAGCATAGATGGGGCAAGGCATGTAGTGACAGAACAAGGAGGAATGGGTTCAAATTGAAAGAAAGTAGGTTTAGATTATATATTAGGAAAAACTTCTTTACTGTGAGGATGGTGAGTCACTGGCACAGGTTGCCCAGAGAAGCTGTGGCTGCCCCATCCCTGGAGGTGTTCACAGCCAGGTTGGATGGGGCTTTGAGCAGCCTGGTCTAGTGTAAGGTGACCTTGCCAGTGGCAGGGGCTTGGAACAGGATGATCTTCAAAGTGCCCTCCCCACCTCGGCCATCCTGATACTCAGCACCACAAACCTCTCCTTTACTTAAGCACAAGCTGCTATCACCACTCACCCACAAACCCAGTTTAAAGCCCATGGAAAGGACGTGCTGCTGGGCACTCCCTGCTGCTGGTGCAGGGTTTCAGAGCCCCTGTCCCACTCCCCAGCAGCTGTTCTGGCTGTGCACCTGCTGGGAGGGTTCCCAGAGCAGGAGCCTGGCCCTGCCTCACCTGCTCAGTGGCCTTGCTGAGGGGCCTCCCCACAGCCTCTCTAGCTGGCCATGCACTGAAGGCTGACAGTGACCCAGAGCTTCTATAAAAACACAATGTGTGTTTTTCCAAGGGTGCATGTCTCGGCAACAGAACACCAGGGAACAGCACTGCTGCATCTTCACAGCTCTGCAGAAGTATGCAACATGTTGTGGTGGAATTACTGCTGTGGCCTACCAAAGAGTACAAAAATTACTCAATTCTTGCTATTTCAAGATTTCAAGATTACTGATTTGCACTTCAAAAAACTGAATCACAACTTATTAGAATAAACTTTTATTTACTGCTCTCAGGATCCTTATTTTATACTTTAAAGTATGCAACAAAACCTGCTACATTCAAATCTATACAGATTTACTGATATATCATTCACGTTTTACAAAACTGCATATAGATTTGGGAAATTTGTATAAGTTACCTTTATTTACATGTAATACTCTCAGTCCTAATGACCTAGTCAAAGGATAAAACAAACCGGGATTTGAAATATCCCTTAAGACCCATTAACATTTGTTACATAATTTACATATCTTCAGAGAGATGTGCTACACTTCCTTCTTGCATATTTATAAAGACTGTGACTAAACAGAAATTTGCTGGCCAAAGCTAGGTACTGTCATTTCCTCAGATCATATTGGTAAATAAAATGTTAAAATTTGAGCAAGTCAGGCATAAAAACCAATTTTTTTCTTTCAGAACCAACTTTGCTAATAATTTTAACCAGCACTTGCTCAAAAAAAGTGTTAACATTAATACAAAAAATACCCACATTTACAAAAGGAATCAAACTAATATTTATATATGACAAGTTGATCTACAATAAATTGCACATTGTTGGTTATGACTTTGGTTATACTGTATTAACAAATTTGGTTTCTAGACTAACACTGGAGGAAAAAATACAAAAATGCAGCTGTAGAAACTAGCAACCTGTAAACATATCACAGAACCAAATTCTGCACCTGATCACATGTGCACAACCTCCACACAGTTCAGAGGAGTTTGCACATAACAGACTGCTGAATTTGGCCCAGAAAACCCTGTAAACATGTTCTTTATTGTTATGTAGTGCAATACTGCAAGAATGGATAATAAAGGCCTCTAACTATCAGTAAATACTGAGTGATATCCATACAAATTTCACTTGAAGATTGATTTGTTGCAAAAGGCTGAATTGAAAATATTATCGTTCAACTACAAATTTATCAAAAACAGTGATGAACACTCAATAAATCAACATCAGTATACAAATTCAAACAAAAAAATTGATACAATGTCTCATTAAAACTCAGAATTATGCTGCTTATCTGTTTCATATAAAAATCTTGGGTTTGTTACACTGTTTTAGCAAAAGCAAGTTAGAAACAGAAGTCTAAACTGTGTCAGCAAGTCAGTGTTCTGCAAACAAATGTTTCCCAATGTTTCATCTAATATGCTGAATTATAAGGTGCTTTGAGCAGATTTGTTGCAAAGAGCCTGAAGCAGCACAGATTATGATACTGTAATGCATGAAGTTTGTTAGGTTTTTTTGTTTAGCTGGGGTTTTTTTAAAAACAGTTTAACAATTTCAGTTGTTCATCTTAAAGCAGAAAATCAAATTTAAATCCTCTGCAAAGATTTCTTCCCAGCTTTACTTCAGTAGTTCACTGCAGGACAGTCTCAAATATTGTACAAGAGGCAATTGCTAAAAACATTTCAGTTTTTTACTCACTTGGCACTGATTGATCCAATGTGTATATTGCATGTATCAGCAAATACACAAAACTATGGAAATGACAAAATACATTTTCAAAAGTTAGTGATTTTTAATACTTAGTTATTTTACACGTGATACTATGAAGATTCAATAGCCATGTGACTATATACAATGGTAGTCCCTGGAAAATCCAAATTTGTTTGTAAACCCTTGAAATGAAATTGCAGCACTGGACCAACATAATTTTTGTCTGTGTCTTAATCAACCCCATCAAAACCCTGAGTGTTTTCAATCGCTAGAAGAAGTTTGTCCCATAAATCTTCAAACGAGTCATATGGAGGCAAATCCAAGCGATTAAAGCTGAAAAACAGATAAAAACTTTTAAGTGTTTTATCACTTTTACTAGAGATCATAATTTATGTGAATTAAATACTCACCAGGTATGAGCTCTTGGCAGTTTTTCAGGGGTACCCCACTGTTCAACTGTGAACAACTGTGGTCCATTTGAACCTGAAGAAAAGAACACATCAATTTTCACCCTATCATGAAATCCTTTTATAATGAGATGCAAATTATGACATATTTGGGGGTTTTGTAATCCAGTTCTGGCATTAGGAGCTATCTATATGAATAAAACACATAGGCAGTAATAGTCAATAATCCCAATTCACTTGTATTTTAATTATTTCTTGCAATACCTCAGTTTCAAGAGACATTTACACCTTAAGCTCAGAAGCCTAAGATCTAAATGTATATGCACAGTAGCTGGCATTAAAGTTTTCTGGACAAGACAATTTTATACTGTTATAAATTTTGCATAAAAACTTATATACGTTTATCACCATGTGCCAAGTTTTATAACCTGGTAGAAAGTAGTAAAAGTCCACCTTGACCCATGCAACAACAAAGCAGAGTAACTGAGAACTTCTAGAAATATGACAATCATATGTGCACTCCCAGGATGTTCTTATGCACCTGAGAACATTTTTTGGCTAGCAAAGGCAGCCCCAGCTGGCTCCCTCTATATTTCAACAACTGTCTTACAGCATCTCATCTCTAAGTTTCTTGGACTTTATTGATTTTTATCTTTTTTTTTTGCTAGGGTTGGGATTAATAGAGCCAGATAGTATTTCTTGTTCGGACTCAGATTTTTATTAGTTCTTATTTATATTACAGTCTCACAAACCTTGAGTTCTACAGTACTTCAAGTTAAACAAACTAAAAATGGAGTCGTATCTCTTTTTTTACAAGGCCTTTTAAAGATAAACTGTCCAATTAAGAAACGATACTTAAATTATTTTTACTTTTAACTCAATAACCAACCACCTGTGGCCCACAATATGAACTTTTTTATCCAATTATACAATATCACCCAAACCCATGAAGAAGGTGAAGAAGGACTAGCTTTCACCCTAAAACCTCCCTCTTGCTTTACATATATAACTGTATTCTGAACCTTAAACTCTAAGTTTTCCACTGTGTGATATTACACAATTCTATTCAAACCACACCCATAATCCCAGTTCTATTATTCAATTTTGGAAGCCTTCTCCACGGCCTCAGGTCAAATACAGTGTTCTTCTGGGGATCAGTGCCTGTCAGTACAGAGTCTAACACTGTCAATTGCCAGAGTTCCAATAGGACTTCTCAAGTCTCATCAAGTAGCTACAAAGAGTATTTCCTATCCGTTTCCTTAAGCTGGGAGAAGACCGTGAAGTTGAGAAAAAAGACAAAACAAATTGCCTGTCTTGTCAGAGAGTATCTGTTCAGTGTCCCAGTGCTCCAGCACGGGTGGGTTTGCTCCCAGCCTCCGAGCGCTGGTGCCGGAGGAGCAGGAACGCCCGGCTGTGCCACGAGAGGGAGATCTGCGCTAGGAAGCGGCTCCAGGGCTGCAGAGCAGGCGGGAGGAGGGAACAGCCCCGCAGCAGCAAAGAGCCACAAAACGCTGAAAAACCGCTACAGCTCTTTCAACACAAGGTACAGGAAATAGAATTGTTATCGGGGCTTAGTAAGGTTACGAGAAACAAAGCACTGTGCAAGACAACTCTAGTTGAATTTTTCATTGAGTGAATACAAGTACAGAAGAGTGCCCAAGGATATCCTAATCCCTGGGCAGAAGGACGCCAAGAACTTCAGCAGTTTCTTTCCCTGTATCAATTCTTAGTTCTGTCCCTAGTAGTGCTCTTAGACAAACAGCAGAGCTCCTGAGGCAGCAGAATTCTGACTGGGTTCCCCTGTGATGAGCATGTGCTGTAATATGCCAAGGCTCAAGAGCAGCAGCAGACACTTGGCTAAGCCTGCTGAGCACACTGTTCTCACTGGAACTCAACTCATTTACTGATGGAACAGAAAAAAATAAACCAAGTGTTTACGTTGAAAATTAAGACATGGAGAAATAGGAACACATGATGGGTGGTTTTGTTCACAATCCTTTTGTTTTGTAAATGAATTAATGTCTTGTTTATAAAAAAGGAAATGTTTAATCAAAGAGGCAAGTTAGGCTATTCAGTCATTTGCACAGCATCTCAAGCACTTTTAGCCTTAATAAAGTAGTCTAGCAGAAAACCTAATAGCTGATGGCAGCTGAGAACAGACTTGCCCTAAGCCAAGCATCCCCACCCTTTGTGGGCTGCTCTATCTGCTTGCCCCCAGTCTGCCCACAGTGGCTTTTTTGACTCTGCTATTGAAATTGGCTCCCTGCTGTCCTCTGCCTGTTTCAGCCTTTGCCTTGTAAGTTCAGTACTTTTCTTCTGACTTTATGTTTAACTCGTGATATTTCAGTGGTCCCCGTTGGAGTATATCCTTACAAACAACTGCATCTGTACAACCGTGCCCTGTGAGCAGATAAAAGCAGTTGTGGAACTGAAGTTAACTGCTGATGCCAGCACGTCTTTGTAATCAGATCTTGGATAACTGAGAATTTTCTTCAAGCTCAATCATGTGTTAAACAGGGATTTTTGCAGCTCCCGAGGACTTCAAAAATCCACATTCATTTGAGAACTTCTATACATTTAAAAACTTCCAAAGCCAGAATTAAAACAATATGCTCCCATATAGAACATGGGAAATGTGATATAAGTGATTCATCTCTTTGTTTCTTATAACTGCCAGTACATACTAAATTTTAAAATTTGAAACATAATTTGACAATGCCTGAAGTCAAACATCAGGACAATGCTGGCATCGGGGTCTTTGTTACTTAATTGTGAAGATAATCTTAAGTACTCACCATACAGCTCAGCAAAGCCATTCATGGGAACACGTGATGTGCCAGTAACAAACTGAAGTAATCTTATTCTCTTTTCAGAGTCCATCATTAAGACTGCCTATGTATGATAAGGATTACAATTAACGATTTATTTTTAAATTAAGGTTTTAAGCTAGTAGACTTATGCAACAAGGTATCTACCTCTAAATCATTATCTATGATACACGTGCATTTTTTTTAGTGACACACAATCAACTCTCTGCCTATTGCTTAAAGCTATGAAGTCAATTTTTTAATGGCACTGTAACGAGAGTATGGTTACTGGCTTAGCAGGCTGTTAAAATGCTTCCCTTGAAGAACTGGCCCCCTACTTTCTTTGAAGTTTCTTGATGTTATGAACTAGAAACCAAATTCCTGTAATTTATTAAACAGAAGAGTTTAACACCTCTTTAGTGTAACCATGCCAGGAAAACCTACACAAATATTTTTAACCCCAGTCAGACTGGGATTTTTTTGAAAAAGCAAGCATCAGTATTGCATTTACATTCTTACCATGCATCTCATCTTTAGTTTTCTCGTTTTCTCAGGAATTTTAATGGTCAAATAATATTTACTTAAACTTTTAATGAATCAAACTATAAACTAGCAGAAAGGCAGCAGCTTTTGAACATGTTTTCAATCAGAATATATTAGAACTTCATTATACCTTCCAGAACCACTGTATTACTTGATGGTTTATGTTGTAGCCATTTTTGTATTTTGTGTGTAGTTTCCAATCAGCCACGTCCACATCTCCCAATCCGCACATTAATAACTAAACAGATAAAAAAAACCAAAAAACACAACACCAAAGGTTAAGTGAGTAAACTAAAGTTTCAACGTAATTTCTTTTCTTTTCCATGATACACCTACCTCTAGCTCATTTTCATCAAAAATTTTAATCAGATCCTGTGGTATTAGTTCAAAAAAGCCCTAAAAAAGATGAAGGAAGTTTTTTAAAAAAAATCAAGGCAACATTATTTTAGCATTTTTAACTATGGAGAAGGATATTTAGAGACTTTGGTAAACACAGCCAAAGAAATATATCAAATACAGATGTTTGGATACCAGTAGACCTCAGTTTTGTTACAGTACTTTTAATTTATTTCTCACATCTTTATTGTGCCACATTGAGTGATGAGTATGGAAGTCTCAATATCATCTACATAATATAATTTGTACAAAAAAGGGTAAATTGCCCAGTTTAAATCAAACTAATATAATTAAATTAAGTTTAATTTCTGAAGAGGTCATTAAATAATTTGCTCTACAGCTAAAGCTGTCAGTCAGGATTGAGAAAGAAGTAAATTTTTCAAGATGAATTAAACACCTCAGTAAAGACATACTGAGATATTTTAAACTCTGAAATTATTTAAAGCTGACACTACAAACAGTATCACTGCCTTTTTTATATACTTTTAACAAAATTATTAGTGGTTCTTCAGGGTGTCCAAAAAAACCTTACTATCAGATGCAACAAACTCTTAAAAGCATTTATGATGTAATTAAAACTATACCTCTTTAAAGGCTGTCATTTGTTTCTGTACTCGGCTCACAAATCTCCACTGAATTACAAGACTGTAAAAAAACAAAAAAAGAAACCCAAACACAAATCACATTTAAAATAAGTGATTTATATACAAAGCAACAACTTCCTTTTATAAATAAAGCTAACACAGAGCCCCTGTAGTAGAGGACAATGCAGTGAGGTACATTGCACAGCAGCCACTACTCACTGAATGTAGTCTCTCTTGTTCTTGTTGGTGACAACTATTTCTGATCCACCACTTTTCAGTTCATGTTGATGGGTCTAAGTGCAATGCACAGAACAGGTCTTAAATAAGGTGAATATATAACAGAATTCCTATGTTAATATTAGGCAACTCATGTAACTCTTGAAGATGGCATAATTTAAGAACTATGAGAAACAGATCCAGTCACATAGGTCACCTAATAAATAAATGTGGTACATTTTTTTCTTTAAAACAGATGTATTATTGAGGGGTGCAATGGGAAACCTCCATTTTTTCTGCTACAACACATCACCCAAGACTGCACACAGGTTCAGAGTAAGGCACACTTCTCTAATTGCATATTCCATGACCCAGCCCTCATTCCAAATCTCAAGGAAAAACAATTACAGAAACCACTTCAGCAATGATCCCAGTAAGTGAATCAATATACATCTCTCTTACAAACTGAGTTATACTACTAGAACCTCAGAAGAAAAATCACATTTTCAATTATCATGGATGTACATTTTCATTGCCTCTCCTTAGGATCACTGCTGTTACACAAGACCACGAAGGTTATTATTCTTAATCTAGCTGGCAGCTGTAATTTGGAAGTTTTATTCAAGACCTGTGGTATTTCTACATGACTTATCTTAAATAGCTCTGTATGCAATAACAAACTTATTATTCTAAAGGTTTCTAGTACATCTTAAGAGAAAGGAAACGTTATCTCCCAGTGATTCCAGCCGGTTCCAAAGGAGCTCATCCTTTGCAGCCAATCACATAAACCCAACCTCTACTCCAGATCAAATAATGGACTGTGGATATCTGAGCCTAGGTTGCCTTACAGCAACAGCTACATTTCAAGTAGTATTCAACAAAAAAGCACAAGCAATTTTTTTAAAGCTCTGCTTATTTCCAAGTCCTTTATCACACCACATTGAAAGCACTGCATGACTGGAAAGAGCTGAGTGAGCTAAGGGGTTTTCTTAACACCATACAGATAAAATCCCCTAATTTCACAGGTCAAGTATTTTCTTTCATGTTTTGTCTATTCTGCATTACATGAATATACTAACCTGACCAAAAAGTTCTTCATCAACTATGAATCTGAGGTCCAGTTCTGCTGGATCATTTTCAAGAATCCATCTCAGAGAATTGTAATATTCACTATCCTAAGAGGGAAGTACAAAATAGTAAGCACTAAATAAAGTAGAGCACCTTTCAGTATCAATACAGGAGCTACAGAACAGATGATGAGGGACTTTGTATTGGGGAGTGTAGTGATAGGATCAGGAGAGCAGATTTAGCTTGGATATTAACAAATTATTCCCTGTGAGGATGGTGAGTCACTGGCAGAGGTTGCCCAGAGAAGCTGTGGCTGCCCCATCCCTGGAAGTGTTCAAGGCCAGGTTGGACAGGGCTTGGAACAACCCAGTCTAGTGGAAGGTGTCCCTGCCTTGCAACCCAAAGCACTCCATCCTTCTAGAGTACTCAACAAAAACCAAATCAAAACAAAAACAAAACAAAAAGCAAACAAAAAAACCCCAACAAGCAAGCAAAAAAATCAGGACACATCTATAAATTTATTACTCAGAAACAGATAGCAACTACATGCTGTAATCTTAAAGGGCAGCAAAACCAGTAACAGATTAAAAAGATAGAATAACAATCACTTTGTCCATGATTATTCTAGATAAGAGCCGTTATCAGGGAGCCAACCAAACAAGAAAAAAGTCTAAAGGACACATTTTTCCTCTAAAAATGGTACAATGTATCACTCAAATATTTTCAGTTCCTGAAATTATTAATTAAAAAAAACAGGTTAAGGTAGGAATCCTAAAAGCATTTATATTCAATTTTAACAACCTCAGTGTCTAAAATATTTTAAGAAAACATCACAGAAAGTTTAGGTTCAAGTTTCCAGTACAGCTTAACTGACTTGAACCTGAGTCTAGGTCTTTGATTTTCATTGGAAGTTGTAATTCCTATACAATTTACAGATTATAAAAGATGTAGCCTAAGATACCTTTGAATAATGCATTTTAGACCTTCAAAATGTCATTAAAGATATATACATAAAAATTATAAGTTAACATGAAATTTATCTACATGATAAAGCAAATTACATACCACAGATTCCATATCATGTAGTGTTATTGGTTTTTGGAGCATCATCTTGTAAAAAGGACGAATAAAAAAGGCTTGAAAGAAGAAGAAATAAATTTAACAGATGTAACTTAGGACTCAAAAGACGAGCAATATTAATCTGAATATCACATTTACATAAGATAAATACTAACCATCCAAAAGTTTGCCATGGTAAACAGCCATTCCAGCCACACGACCTATAAACTTGAAATAAGAGAGATGATCTTCATTGCAAAGTCCAGAGTTTGGATTGATCTGCAGAGTATAGTTATCTCTGAAGTTGAAGGAGAGAGCAGGGAAGAGAAAGAAAAACAAAACTTGTACTATTGGTTGCACTACTGGAACAGTCTCACATTTGTAGATCTGAAAGATATCACTTATTAAATCAGTTATTGCTGCTCATGATGATATCTAATATTAAACAATACACAATGGAATATTATTAGCATATCAGAAACAACCACCACAAACTACCTTGGTAAGAGATAAACCAAAGAGAAGGGATTAATTCCCATTCATTTTCAATTAGAATTACATTCTCTGCATTACTGGGTACATACTGCCTCTTCTGTATGCAGGAGATGGTTGCAAGCATACGCTCATCCATGCAAAAATGCCATGGCTTACGTTAGACTGCTGTTAAAAAACCCCACAAGGACTGTCTCCACATTACTCTTCTGTCAAACAACTGTGTGCAGATTGTGGCAGTTATTCTCAAATAAACCCTCCCATACATTTGCAAGGGTGGCAGGAACCCCATTTTTAAAGAAGGTATGAGAAATACAATTTCTTTTCCTAAGTCTTCACGTCATCCAGAGCGGTACTACTTACGTAGCTGAATACTCAAACAATCCATAGTAAGGATTAAACATTTCTTTAGAGAGAAGGAAGAACCATTCCCTGGCTACTCCTCCATAGTCTAAGCCTTTTTCACCATCAAATTCAATCCAAAGTCTTGCTTTAAGGAAATCTGCTCTCTTTACAGCTATAATTCTTCTGTAAGAATCTTCAAGGATTGTTGTGCGATGAATTTTCATTTCAAACCTATTTGGAATATCACTCTAAAAAAGAGAATATGAAAACAAAGAATAATAAAACAAAACCCAGCATCTTACAGTTTTGCAGAATATGCAGATTCTGAAAATAGACAAAGAGGGCACAGAAACCTTTTCCTTACATAATCTGAAAACATAACACAATATGATTGAAAAGAGGCTCTATCTGCCTACAATTCAACTAGCAAAGAATTTCAGATACTAACTTCTATTTCATGCTAAGAAAATACAGTTAAAGTAAGTTCTTACTAGTAACAGTGTATGGGCAGTTGTTCTGCATGCAGCATGGCATGGAGTCTCTTCTGACACTGAACGTTTATCATATTACACACTTGATTAAAAACAGCTCACAGTTGACACAAAGTTATCTGGAACCGTTTTACCTGACTTATTTCACCTTCTAGTTCAATATTCTATGAGCCTAGGTGTCCTGTTCTCTTACTTAAGACAAAATCTACAGTTGTATTTAATTCCTAAACTACCTTAATTGTATTGTGTGGCTGAGCTCTCTATCACTTCTCAGATTAAGATACTGACATTTGAATGAATGTCAATCTTGTTTGACTAGGAACACAAAAAATGAGGTGCATATATAATTGTGTGCAATTTCCATGTCAGCTCAAAATGCATAGGCAGACTTGGAAAGTAGAAGGTAAAGCATGGATCTAAACTCAAAGGCTACTATTATATATGTAAAATATCTCCCAAGGATGTAAAATTTGATTGAACTTGTGCAGACTCATTGTTATCTGGCTGTCCAGATGCTATTTACAGTCTTTTATGCTACATGTTATAAATATACCTGGCACTGCCACTTCAAACTAGAGCTTGGAAACAAGATTCATAAACTTCAGATTTTAAGGCTGTAGCAATTTATTGCAGTCATCCAGCTTGTTCATTATGACAGTAGAGATTTCTACATAGATTAAAATCTATTCTGAGACTTTCTATATTCTGACTTCCAAAAACTATTCTATGCTTGATCAGTGATTTCCAGACTTTGATGTTGCCAGTCTTATTTTCAGGTTCACGACGTTTTAACCTCTGAAAATGTCTACTTTTTAAATTAGATTCCTTGCAGTCTCATCTGTGCATAAAGTCACAAACCCTGCTGTTAAGAGTAAATGCTAATTTTTACCAAGCTGCTGCTTCACAAACACGTTTGTGATCAGACAATAAATTTACCTTCCCTGTAACCTAAAAGTTTCCCATGTCTAGGGGCCTAAGTTTCAAAACTTTCTGCTGGATTCCTGTTGATTACTAACCTGTTTCTTCAATTTCTTCCTGAAGAATTCATACTTCCGCTTATAGTCCCTGGAGTAAGGCACAGCCTTTGGGGGGGAAAAAAAGGAAAAAACCTCTTGTGTGTCTTGTGAAGCACAGACAACCCATTCAAATTCTGAGATAACAGGAGTGCATGCTTTACTGAGTGCCAGGGAGACTTCCAATTTATAAACACCAGGAATGAAAAGCACTTCTCTGTCCAGATCAGATCCACAGAATCCATGCAGTACTTCCCCAGGAGCTGATGTAACTGCCTGAGATCCCTGAGTGGCCCAGATCAAAGTGACCAAAATGCCTTTGGTGACGTCCATAACACGTCCATTTCCCTGCTGTATCATCAGAGACCTGGCTACAAACCCCTCTATTTTCCATGGCCAGGGAAGGTTGTTTACATACGCAGGCTATTAATAGACACAGATATCAGCTGGACACTAAAACCCATCTATAATTATAATGCAAACCATCTTTGCAATTAGTTCTGGTAATTTTGCACTTCAGTTTAAGTATTGAGGCTGGATAATTATTTTTCAGTTGAAAATTAATTCCTCTTTAAGCGCTTTTTTTCTTTTTCTTCTTTTTTCTCAAATTTACTTCATGAATTGAGCAAGTGTGGATAAAAAATAAAGAGACTTTTTACCCACTTCAAAGCCCTCCCCCCAGTCTATAAGGAAACTTTCTTACTACCATGGGAACTGCTTTTTTTTCTGGCATTTAAAGACCATTTCCCCAGAAAGCTTTCTAAACAGTCTTTAAAAAAAAAAAGTTTTGCTCAGACACCCTGAAAGTTGCACCTTTTAGAGCGACTAACTGATAAATGACAAGAGTCTGTTTATATTCTATTAACAGTACTCCTGAAAAACATGAAAATCTACATTAGGAAAGCTTACTGGTCCAGTTATTGCCACATTCTGCAGTCGAGGATCCTCCCATTGTGTTCTCTTCGTATCTGCAAGACATTTTTTAATTAGTTCCATTAATTTAAATAATGCTCACAAATAAAATGATGAGCCAGGAAGAATACTATACTGTACATACTGTGGTTTATGAAGAATATTCTTCCATCTGTGTGAGTTCTCTCTTCCCATCCTGGCTGTAAAAAGGCAACATTTTTATAACACATTTTTATGAAATTTTTATTATAAACTTCTGATCATATAGTGTGCATAGAACTCAACATGAGCTGCAGTTGTGGACATTCGTCCCCCATCTACTGTCAGCAGTGAAATTCAGAAGAGTATTTTTTGTAGGAAAAAAGCAGGCTGCATTTTCTCATGTGCAAATTTTAATAATGCTAACTTAACTAGCTAAATTGTTTCATCTGCAAAAGAATGTACAAGTACAGAATGGTTTACTTACTGGTAATGGGCCCAGATCAACTGGATCTAGGGAAGTCTTTCTCCTCGGATGAGCAGAAATTTTCAGTCTTGGATCTTCCTTTGAAAAGAAAACAAGCAGCATGTTAAAATCCTTTAGCTGTTTTTGCTTTTAATTTTTTCTTGGCTTTTATTAATGATTTTGTAAAGACTATGCCTAGTACCAATTAGGCAATGGTTGCATATTCTGCAGCCAGAGGAATCCTTGTGGATTCTCAGTCCTCCAGTAATTACAATCACCTTCTAGTAACCTTTCACTCCATTTTATTTACATACATATAAATATAAATCCCTCATTCAACTCAATTTTTGTGTAATTGAGTTGAATTACTCCTTCTACACAATTTCTGACACACCTTACACTTTTTGGATTTGGTGAGGTTGTTTGGTTGGGGCTTTTTGTGGGAGCTAGGATGATGGTGGTTGTGTTAAATGAGTTCTTTTCATCTACCTGGAGAATAGAACACCCATTTTGAATCAATTTAATGCATTTCTCTTTCCCTTTCACCTGACAGTAACACTGACTTAGTCTTGAGATGCTTAAGTCCATCTAATAGCAGTGCCAAGGGGTGTGCAGTGCCCCTCTGTGGAACTGCAGCTGTACAGCTCTCTCACCCATATGGTGCTTGCAGCTGGTCTGCTTTTCTAAGCATTCACAGAAATTTCTGTTGCACCCTGTGATAAATTGAAGGGAATGGATTTCCTGTTGAAGGTATGCTTACAGAATTCATTTCTGTGAACAGCTCCTATAAGCTACCACAGTTCTGCAATGTCATTTAGGAGGGGCTTTACATCTGCAAAGCAGATTCCTGTTTTCCTCCTTCCAAGCTAAACTTTCAAGTACCAATACAATTAGTAAAATTGATACTCTTCTACTCATGACAGGTATTATAACTTGGCATTTTTACTACATATCACTGAGACTCACACAGAATATTCAGGGTTGGAAGGGACCTACTAGGATCTTGGAGTCCATCTCCATGACCTATATAGGGATTAAATGCCCCATCTCAGCTTTATTAGCACCATGCTCTGGCCATGCTCCTGAACAGACAGACAAAGCCACCTTGGCACTAAAGTAACATACAGAAGCTTGCTGAAAGCAGCAATGTTTTGATTCAAGAGGAGCCAGAATTCCAGTTCATGAGAACAGTTTTCCATTACCCATGTTGTGGTTTTGGTATTGTGGTCAATAAAGAATGGTCTCCCATTGGGTGCATGTCGGACTTCCCAGCCTTTAGGAAGAAATCCTTGCTCCATTTCAGGCTGCTGCTGAGAAGACTGTTGTGATGAATCACTTGATGCTGCCTGTGGCTGTCTTCCTATAGAAATACCTTGTGCAGCTGACACCTGACTTGCTTCTGCAGCAATCTATGGTAAATGACAAAAAAACATTGTATCAAATCAAAGCCCTGTAAAGCACTATCTTTTTTTCTATTAACCTATATTCATGAAAGCTGTTTCATAAAGCAAGTCCCTGACAGATTTCATAACATCAACCACATTGACTAACAATCACTGATTGTGCTGAAGGTTTACAGAAGGATGAGTGCCTTGCCATAAACATTATTCCTGTTCCTAACTCTCCATGCAGTGTCTCAGATATTTTATGTGGTACTTTACAGTTTATGCCTTTTGCACATTCTATTTCAAAGCCGTCTCTCCACTTCTATTACACAAGATGTTTAAAAGGTTCAGTGAATACAAACATCAGTAAATTGAAGACAGGCAGTACCTGTACAACTGGTTTTATCCAGGTAGTGGTTCTAGAATTGTGATCTATATAATATGATCTTCCTTTTTCATCTTGTCGTTCTTCCCAGCCTGGGGGCAATCCAGATGAAGTAGGCAGTAACTAAATATTAGTGATAACAGATGAAAAGCAATTAAGGAAACTATGAAACTTACTGTGAAAAAGTTTTCCTGTGTCAAACTAAAATAGCAAAACTATATTCCAGAAGGTTCATCACTTTTATGAATTGGATAAAGTAGATAAGAAGTATTTAAGTCCTTCCTGAATAGTATGACGTGACAGATTTTTATTTGTTTTTTGTTATTTGTTTCAAACAAAATTCAAACTCTTCATGTAAAGGATGCATTTACACACCAGGTTTAGGCTGATCCAGCCTTGTATTTCTGGCTATTAGATCACAGTTTGCAGTGTCACCATAAAAAGCATAATGGAATGTGGTATAGCTTTTAATTGTAAGTAAGTAATTACACGACAAACCATTTGAAAAACGGAACTCACATCAGGGCAAGACTACTTCCTTCTGCAGGCTATGCATCAAGCTAATGCTAAACAAAGCTGAAATGTGAAAGCTTTACAGTTGAACTAGACCCATAATTGCCATTTTGTCAGGACAGCTGCTGGGCAAGGAAGGCCAAATCTCATTTAAAATGTCAGCACTTAACACAGCTAAAAGCCCATGTTTTTTGAAAAATGACTTACCACTGGATGTGCAGGCTGCTCTTCAGGTCTGTATGTTTGCAGACTACCTCTTCTGCTGGAATGGTTCTTGAAGGAACGGAAAGAAATGACACATTAGCTATTACTGCAGCTTAAGGATGGCAGCAAACAGCCAACAATGGTTATCCATCCTGAGCAAAGTGATGCATTTGTTTTAAAACACGATTTAATATATTTTTCAAACTCTCATTTTAACAGCTAAAAATATCAAGTTCACAGAGTCTATTATAATCTTAGGATGACAGAAGCTTGTTAAAGTTCAGAAAACCCTAGCAAGAGATGTTTTGGCATGTAAAACATTAATTACAAATAGTTATAGTACAATTGAGTTTACAGTATACAACTTCTTGTGTTGTCAGTAAAGTATGTGATAGAGAAGAGCTAAGACAACTTTCCAGAGAGTAGATTAGGCCAATGATGAGAAGACATGAGAGTGTAAGATAACCAGTTTGAGATGAGCAATTCAATCCTTGGACTTCGAATAAATGTCCACCTTCCTGCCTAAAGGCACATTTAGATCTCACTTGCTACAATTTGCTTCAGAATTTCCCCAAGTATTTGAAGGATTTTTCCCTATCCATATACTGTTCGAGTACTTCAAAGAAAAAGCTGATTAACTTTTAATTTTTTTTTTTTTTTAGTGGAGGCAGGGTGGGGTATAATGCAGGTATAGGAAGGCAAGACTGCCATTCTAGCTGACTCTTGCAAATAATTTGAACATCTGCCTCTTTCTTTGCTCCAGCCACCCAAGCAAGCTGAAATAACAGTTTCCTTGCTCTCCATCCGATGCTGAACAGCAGAGATCGAGTAAATTCTTGTTACTCTCACTTGACTGTTTCCAGCAACACCAGTGATACATTTGTACAAACTCAGATAAACATTGTCAATTCCAAATTTACATTTGGAAGGGCATTCTTAACATCACAAAAACTAATGATTATTTCAATACCAAAATCTAACAGACTAGATGGCCTGGGTCACCTCTACAGGCTTTCCTCAATGGACAGTGGATTTTTCACATCATGTGTCAGGTTACAAAGCTGTTTGTGGAGCTCGGGTTTCACAGGACAGCTGAGCTTATTTAATTGCTTGCTACCATCAAAAAGTCGAGTTTCACCCTGGCTACATACTCCTGCTGTTTTCCCTGCTACTGTAGCATTTGTCAGACAACCTAGCATGCTGTCTCAGTTGCTCAAAGTGCAAAAAAGCAGTTGAGGAAAAGAGAGTAGTTTTCTGCTGGGTTAGCAAGCTGAACAGACTCACACAGAGGTCAGGCAAGTTTCACAGCTGGCACAAGGGCTATGGAACTGCAAGCTCCCTTTTTTGCTGCTAATGAAGCAGCAGGTTTACTCAACCCAATCATAAAACCTTATCCCAATACCCACAAAGCAAAATGGTTAATCTTAAAACTTGTTCTAATGAGAAAAGTAAACTTTCAGGATACAGATTTTTTTAATTCATGCTTTTCAGCACTTGACGACACCACACTAAGAGGTAGATTTACAGACTGAATAATAGTTCACACAAATCTGTATTCACCTCAGACAGAAATCCATATAAGCAAAGCAGTGAGCAAGAAAATGCTTGCTTAGATGGGATTCTACAGTAAAAAGGCTATTCTTAAAGTCTGTGCATTTGAGATAAAACTAAAAATATAATTCCTAAATAAAGTATTTATGGATCTAATTCTATCAAAACAAGGAGAAAAATAATTTACGGTGTAGGCTGTTGACTGGCCAGCAGCTGGACTTCCAGAGGTAGTAAGTCTGTTACTCAATTCTTCTGCAAGATGACTCTGTATATCACAGCTACTCTGTGAGAGAGGTATTGGAACATTCTGATTGCTGTACATTGTTGCCTCATCCTCAGTTATAATTTCCCAGCTCTTTAAAAGGAAAATAAAGGAAAAACATTTTAAAAAAGTAGTTCCAAGTTACAATTAGTTAAGACAAGCTTTTTGAGTAGTCTAGATTAAAAAAATCACTTGTTGCACTTGAGCAACAATTCGAGATTTATTGTTTTACCTCGGGGGAATCTCTGTTGTCTGTGTTTTCTGTATCCTCTGATATCTGTCGCCGGTGAGTGAACACGTGCTGGGCCTCCAGCTGCACACTGCCAAGATCTGCAACAGCCACGCTGTCCCTGGTGGGGCAGGGGGGGACAAGTCAGCAAACAGCAGCCAGAGTTTATCTTTCAACAGTAAGCCAGGCTAACAGCAAAAACATACATCACAGTCATTTTGACAGAAGAAAAAGAAACAGTCTGGACTATATAAATGAATGTAAACTGTTTCAAATGAATAAGCATTCATGTCAATGTGAAGTGTAAGCTGAAGAACCAGGTACCATTCTGGGGGGGGGAAGGGGAAGCCCAATGAAAAAAGTAAGGCAAACAATTTAACGAAGGCCCTGATGGGAAGAAAAAAACCAGGGTGAAAAAGGAAAGATTTACTTCCATTCCTACAGTTATCTCTCCAACTGCAACCAGTTTCTATTTGAACACATATCTCCAGAGCACAGTACAGTCAAAATGATCACTGGCCAGTGACCACTGCACGAGGGCTTCTAAATTAAGCAAGGGAAAGCTCTCTACTAATTTTCAAGCTGTTCACTTTTTATTTCTCCTTGCTTTCAATCTAACTAGGGTGAATGACACTCGCTAATACAAGACTTGAATTTTCAGGCTAAAAGACATACTGTGCAGTTGGTCTTTTCCACTGTGTTCTTCTGAACTCATGATTGACATAGTAGGTCCTGCCGAGGATGTCTTGTCTTTCTTCCCAGCCTGAAGGCAGAGGAGGAGATTCCTGCTGCTGCTGTTGTGGCTGGCTAGCAGCCTCTGGTTGGTCCAATATAATCCACCCAGGCTGAAAGACATAATATAACTACCTTTAATACTACAGAAGTTGAAAAACATATCTTATCAAGCCACTCCCCTTTTTAAGGTGCAGTTCCATTATATCTTAAGTCACTAAATTTGACTCTGGCTTTAGTGTGTTTATTTCTAAAAAATGACAGGGCATATTTTGCATGCAGAAATCTTATTTTAAAGTCAAAATACTTAAATATATTAGTACCAGAAGCTGTTCATTCCAGGAAAATAAACAGCATTCACAGAATACATTAAAAGCTTAAATACTGTAATTTTGTACATATGCTGCAAATATATCAGGCAGATGAACACACCCTTCTGTAATAAAGTTTAATTACAGCAAAGGTGGTAATGTTGAGTAGAGTTAAATCTGGAAAAGAAATCCATGAATCTACGTTAGATGTGCTTAAAAAGATTACATATATATGGTAGGTAAGATCAAAATATCCCTATGGATTGGAGAGAGTTGGAATTCTAAAACCAGAGAGATGTTAGTGTCTGTCTGGGGTCAAACAACATTAAACAGTACCTACAACAGAAACTTAACACTTTAAATTGTATGCACAACACAAGCAATCACTTTTAACTGGTTTGTTTCTAAAACACTATTTATAGCTTAGTGATTCCTAACATTCATTTTTCAGCAATAAACGTATTTTTTCCCCACCTCTAATTCTTCAGCCTGTTCTGTGGTTTCTTCTTCAGACCCATTGTTTTTAGGTAAATAAGTCATTTTTAATCTAAGGTGGCCTTTAACTCTTGATTTATGGCTGCAGAAGAGAAAATAAAATTATTTTATTGTGCACTTGTAAAACAAAATAGCTGAAAAAGCACAGCTAGAGGATTATTCTTAAGTGTTCCAACACAAACTTGACTTTTAATAAACTAAATTAAGTTCTATAATGGCACTGAGGCTTTGGATTTCTGAATACAGTAAATATTTAAAATAATGCTGACTTTTTAGTAGAACATCAATATCTCAGAAATGGCTGCTCAAATTTCTTTGATGGGAACAAATGTTGAGAAAATGCATACATATTTACAACAAATTACATAAGACCATTGTGTAGATATAAAAATTAGAATTTCCATGTGGTGTTTACTAACCTTCTTGGATGAAGAACAAAATCCTTAAATGTATATGGTCTCTCCATACTTGGATTTTCTGTCTACAATAAGAATTTTTTTCAAGAAAAATCTTTATCAAGCACTTGAAATCAAAGGAAACTATTAGAAATTTACATCTGATTTCTTTACAGGTCTTATAACATTTTAAAACTTAAATTAAACAGGTTCAGGTACAGTAACAGCAATACTAGCTTTAATCTTAGCAGTAAGACCAGTACTCTGGTTCAAGAAAATAAAAGTTACCTCTCAAGTATCTATGCATATTACAGAATGAAAGAGCTGCTCTTGGAAAGGGCTTGCCATGCTTGCTACCCTGTTTTTAAGACAGTTTCTGATAAATCTGTTAGTATCTGCTAATGTTTCGAGACTTCAGAAGAAAATGAAAAAGCTTATTTATTTCAATGTTCTTGGTGATATTTCTTTAAAACTAATTATCTGCTGTGCAAAAGGAATACAAGAAACAGAAAAAAAATTGACCAAAGCAACAGTAGCTCTATTTCCCACTCACTCTCCTTCTTGTCTCTATGTGAATAAGGAACAGTAAAAATAAATTTACAGACGTGAAAGAAATATTTTAAGACATGACAACAATTACAATCTCTGCTTATCTTTAAGACTGTAAAACCATGGAAAAACGAAAAGCACTCCAGTATTGAAAAACAAGGTAACCTACATTGTTCTATAAATAACAGCACTGAAAAATCCCAAACAAATGTACAAAATAAAACAAAGAACCCACAGAGCAGGAGAGTTTAATTGCTTTATTATCAGTATTGTTAACTTACTTAGATGACTAATAGAGTGCATATAGAAATATTTTTTCTCTTTTGTAGTCTTAAAAACAAACAAAAAATACAAACCGGTAACTGATAAAGAGGAATATCCACTTGTCCAAGAAAATCATCTCGAGTCTACAGAAAAGAAAAACAAACACCACAGAAAGTTGAAAGCTGCAAAGTTTTAAAAACATTATCCCCACATCCTGATAGCATAGCAATGCTTCCTTAGAACCTGAAGGCACTTTTGAATAATAGGCAATAACTTGTCCTGTACAGAGAGCAAGTTCTGACTGATCCAACACCCAGCCTTGGATGTTCTGCCTTCCTCAAAACAAAATTTGAGCGAGTTGGGGTGGAGATTCAGACTGTTTACTAAATTATACAGACTAATGTTAACCAAACAGGAGAGTTGTTCACTCTCAGTCCTGATGCTGTTAGCATCCCCAGCAGAAACATTGTCTTAAAGGACCCTCCTCCCAGGAGGACCCAACAATTTCCATAAACCTAGACAGCTGGTTAAAACAGGCATGTATCAATATTTTTTTATTTTCCAAATCATACAGCTACTGTCAAAGATAACAAGAAGCTAAAGTAAGTGTAATCTGTGGTAAGTGCTTTGGAAGTTCCAGCAGTTCCACTGGTCCCAAGCTTGGCATGAAAACCTGCTAGAACTATGAAAAAATACCTTCTGTATACACACATTGCAGAGTTTAGTTTTAATAACCATAAGATTTAACCCTGGCTTGGACATCTGGACTGTCCAGCTGGGACCAGACTATGAACACAGTGGCTGTCAGGCCAGGGCAGGGGTTGACAATACACAGTAATGCTGCACACTTCACTTTTCATCATGGATTTTTGCTTGCCAAATAAATTAAAATTTCACTAATCTACATAGGTAATTTCAGTATTCACCAATAATCACCACCAGCAGTACTTCACTTTACTTCCTGCTGGATTACTGGAGCGTGTGCTAAATTGCTTCAAATTAATTCATGATTTGAAATCTTTGTGGACCTCCATAAAAACAGGAAAATATATTATAAGGGTCATTTAACATGAAGACATATCAGTGCCTATGGAATAAACTCAGGTCAGCATGGAATTTTTTGAAGGTATGTTTAAGCTTATGGCTTAAAAAAACCCAAACATACACTACAATAAGACTACACTTTTTTGCACAGACTGAGTAAGGAGCTGTAAAAGTCTTCAACTCTGGCTCTGCAACCTCAGAAATTCCAGGCTTCCCGATTTCTCCAGCTAACAATAGATTTGGGGCCTATTCTTTGCTAAATCTGTTGTTCACATATTCAAAGTAATCACCCCAGAACTTTAATGTTTGTCCATAAAACTTTTCACCACAAGGCTCTGCAGCTTGCTGACATCTATTTCCTTCACCTCAGGGCAAAACCACGTATTTCAATTTTCTCTTGGAAAACTTACTTTAATTTTCAATTCAAATGTTTTACAGCATTAAAACTCCAGTCCAATTCTATCCATTTTCTGGTCCCTCTGACATTAAAGTATAAGTATTTCTGGAAGTAGATCTTTTTGCCTTAGTAATTCTGGTACTTTTTTTTCTTAGCCCTGCTGTCCTAAGTTCATCCATTAACCTTTAAGTCATATATGTATTTGGAGAAACAGTGTCTTACATGGGCCTCTAATTTTCACATCTGCAAAAAGCACAACCAGATTGTCATAGATGATAAAATGCTAGAAATTTGGAGATATGTCACTTGAAATTCAATTTTCAGCGTGGATGCCATTTTCAGATCTGAAGAGGACAAAAATGAACATATATACAAAAATCCACCTTTTTAGTCCACAAACTCATTTGAGATAGAAAGTTACAATAGGTTTCATACCTGAGGAAGCTTCCCTGAACTATTGAAGGAAAACTTTCTGTGCTATTATAGACCACAGGAGTCTGGAAAAAATAGGTTATCATTTTTGCCTGTGAGGTTCTTTTTAAAATGGCACAGCACATACCTCAGACATGTTAAAAGGCTTAGTATTTGTAAAGTTCTTGGCAATCCTGAAGTGGAACATGCCTTCCAAATAAATTATTGGAATGTGGGACAAAAGTTTGCTCTATTTTAGAAACCCTCAGAACATTGTGTTTGTTACCAGCATAATTTAAGTATGGGCTCCTGTTATTCACTTTATTATTCTGCTGTCTCTCCTGCTATTTTTAGCAGAGTTAGAGTTGATAACCACCTCTTTAACAGTACTTTCTCCTCCAGCTAGAAAGCAAAACCCTGAGTGGAGATTTTTGTTGACCTCCAAACAACTAACACATAAATCAGATAGCAGGAATGATGTGCAGTGATGTGCCCCACTGTGACAAGCTGACTTACTGCCTGCCAAGAGGTGCCAAAGCAGCTTCGCAACAGACACCGCACACATGAACAACCAAATGCCAGTGGAGCTGAAACTGTTTGGATCTCTGCTTCATCAGAGCAGGCAACACACACAAGTGGGTCAGTTGTTCTTGTCAACTTCTAATTTCTTAACAGCCAGAGAACTCAAACTTGCTGCTTGGCATCAACCTCAATTAATGATATATACTGCACTAACAGAGAGGCCTTGTATTTTACTGATTCACTGGTTTAGTCTATAGAAGGTTATTAAAAACAGGTGAGGACAGACAGCTGCTGTACACAATTCATTTGAAGAACTCCACTGCAATGCCAAAGCATTCAAAGAAAAGCACCAAAAGACAGTAGTTCTGTTCAAAGCTCATTTTCATCTATTTTATGAATATATGATTAATAAGTTTTAGATTTTTGACCTGTTTTTCTGCAACTCCCATCAGAAATTGCAGTAGATTTTAAACAGACACGCTTATCTGAGTTATACGTTTAAGAGCAGCACTGACAACATAACCCAAGATTTACCAGGTTTGAAAATGGGTCACTGAATTTAATGTCCTTCTTAATTGCTGGATTCACCACACAGCCTTTTGAAACAGATCTTGTATAAGACTAAGGTGTTGAAATAACAAGTATTTTACACGTTTGGTAGTATTAGCGCATTAATTAGAATCCAAGTGTATTCCAGTCCTTTTCTGAATAAACTGGCAGCTAGTTGTACACAGGTTGGTCTTTGCACAGAAACCCACAGCTGTATGGCAAAACAAGAAAGCATACAGCTTTTATTGGAGGGAACATAAGTATCAATTCAAATTGAAAAAACAAACAGTGATCTGGACTATCGCTGCTTAAGAAAACATGAGCTCAATAGATGCCTTATAAAACCAACATTCTTCTTGCTTAAACACCCAAACATCAACATTACTTACAAGCTTGATGAGAATGAAAAAAACTTTCCTGAGCTACACTAGCAAATTCAAGTATTTTTCTTTTCATGCCGCACTGAGAGTATTATTTTGTTCTCTTAAACTCTAAATTGAAAAAAGTGAGCCCTTTTTTCTTCCATAAAATACTGCCAGCATATGCTATTCATCATGGAAAAGTAACAGTTTCAAAAAAACAAGATTCAATTATGACATTAAGATTGTACCAAATTCACAGATTCCACAAGTAATGTTTTCTCTATCTTGCAATGCAATAAATACTTGGTTGCATGGAATTCATTACAGTCCCAGTCTTCTGTATTTTTAAGGGGGACCTGTGGATTGTGAGATTTTTTTTTTTAATGACACATAGGCCACGTAGGCATTTCTTTAGAGTTGGCATCTATGACAGATGTAAGATCCTATCAGCATTTTCAAAATAGGGAGAATACATACCGTTAGATCAAGGGTTATTACACAAGATGTATTTCTGCAGGACCTTCAGCCCTGCTGGCTGTTTCAACAGCAAGGTGTCAGCACAACATGCCTCAGCAATTTTACCATCTGCTTAACAGACAGCATTTAGAAATGACACTGAGGTTATTTTCACTAATTCTCACTCACTTCCAAAGATATTTTCAGACTACTCCTTATCTAAAGACCAGCGAAAAAGCATCTTCTGTTTCTCCATTTATAGCTTACACATTTTATATGGCACCAAAATCTTACCACTTCCCTAAGAGTTCATGTTTAGTTTACGGTACTTTTACAACATTCATATATTAGTCCACTCTATGTGTGCTGCTTTGAGAACTTGTCCTTAAAAGTTAATTAACAATGCAATTTAATATAGCTTTTTTTTTTTTTTACACAGTTCACAGGTAGGCAAGTTGTCTAATATAACCAAAGCATACTTCAGAACAACATAAACAAAGAACATGCCAAAAGTTATTAATACATTGATTTTATTCATCAGGACTTCCGAGTTCCTTTGGTTTGATGTATACATGTGCCAAACAAACTATCATATAAAAAGCAGATGTATTACATTTTATGAAAAGTTGAAAGCCAATCCAGACTTGTCCTCCTGTGTTAAATCTGCCAATATTCACCACAAAAGATTTAGAAAACAGTACCAAATATTTAATTAGGTACTATTTCAACAAGTCATTCTTGACATCAAGTCAGTTAGCTTCATAATAGTATAAAAACATAAAACTCTTGCCTCTATTTGTGAAAGCTTTTTCTCTAAGTCTTAAGACTTTAAAGAAAGTTTAAAAACCAAACTCTCATAGTAACAATTCCAGGCTCACTTTCACCTCCTCCATTTAACACTATAAAGTTTAAAGCACAGAAATGTAAAACTTCACCAAATGTTAAAACTGCATGTGTAATTTGCTCCCAGAAGTAACAACATATAAACCAAATATTGCAGATGTTTGCCACAGTGGCTAATTAACACATCCAGCTGAAGGACTTTATCAAGTCAATCAACTTTTTCCTTTTGAGAGCAAAACTTCCCATGAAGTTCACTTGATCCAGTTCAGGATCACCCAGAGGCATTAAGTCAGGTTGGACCTGGAAGTTGCTTTTCAGCCCTAAATTAAATGAGTTGGCCAGGGCTGTACAGGTACCTGGCCACTTCCTAGAGAACAAGCAGGGCTGGATTCAGGCTGCATGGCCTCACCCTGCTGCAAAGTCAGTCCAGCAGTTTTCAAAAGCATTAAGTGTACTGTTGGTGCAAGTGCAGCATCAACACTAACTCGGGACTGCCCGGTGCCTTTGCACCAGCACACAGCTGGCAGGCAGTGCCAGCCCCAGGGCAGCTTTCCCTGCT